GTGTGTGTGTGTGTGTGTGTGTGTGTGTGTGTGTGTGTGTGTGTGTGTGTCACGCGTGTGTGTGTTTTCTATGCATGTTGTATTTATGCTGTTTATAGACTCAATCGGCTGCCAGAGGTGTGGCTGCAACGTCTGATGACAAAAGCTGCGGCGAAGGGACAATCAGTGGACGATCTTTTGAGGAGAAGTGCAGGCATTCCAGCTTCTTTCCTGGCTCTCTTTTTAGCGGAACCGGAAGGAGTGCTGAAGAAACTCCTACCGACGGCAATGCGCTGGCTGCTTGTGAAGGCTTTGGGTACTGAGGGAGAAAATATTCAAACAGGAGGAGATGCGGAGAGAGGGACAGAAAGGTGCGAATTGGAGGGGAGGGGTCTGAATGACGGAAGTATGTATGGTGGCAGTCAAGCAGAGCAGGTTGGAATGCGATCTGAGGACAAAGCAGAAGGTTCAGCGGTTGATGATCCCAAAGGGGAGGAATTGAGCAATGGTGGCATTGAGGAAACAAAGGATGGCTCGTCAGGGAATGAGTATGTGTCCCGTGTGCATGCTTTCAATGTCCTGCGGTTGTCCTTCAATGACACCAACCTCTCGACTGACATATCGGGCTTCTGCGCGGAAGGCCTCGTTGCTGCAATAAGAGGATTTGCATCCAAGCATTGGGAGGTGCGAAACAGTGCTGCACTCTGCTTTGCATCACTCCTCCGGCGGACGATCGGCTATTTGAACGCACGGAAGAATGAAAGTGCACGCCGTGCAATCACAGGCTTTGAGTTTTTCTCAAGGTGAGCTGTGCGCTTGTTCCCGTCAACTGGTGGAGTCTTACAGAATCCAATCACAGACATGGCCAGGGCTAGATATCTGTACTGAGCAGTCTGGTTTCAAGCTGTGCTTTGTTGGTGGGTGTTCTTATTGTGCATTTTATCCTGTCCGATTCATGAAGCGAGACTCAAGTTTGAGACAATGCCATTCATTGTAACGCAAGAAGTAGAATGAGACGAAAAAGAGACAAGAATGTGGAAAAGCAGAAGCAGAAGCAGAAGCAGAAGCAGCAGAAGAAGAAGACGACGATGGCGAAGAAGAAGAAGAAGAAGAAGAAGAAGAAGAAGAAGAAGAAGAAGAAGAAGAAGAAGAAGAAGAAGAGAAGAACAAGAGGAAGAAGAAGAAGAGGAAGAGGAGGACAAGACTAAACCAATTTCATCTCCCTCCTTTTCTCTCTGCGATCATCATCCCTCACAGAATCGTCTCTCTCCTCTCTCTGCGATCATCATCCCTCACAGAAGAAGAAGAGGAAGAAGAGGAGGACAAGACTAAACCAATTTCATCTCCCTCCTTCTCTCTCTGCGATCATCATCCCTCACAGAATCATCTCCCTCCTCCTCTCTCTAAGAAGAAGAAGAAGAAGAAGAAGAAGAAGAAGAAGAGGAGGAGGACAAAACTAAACCAATTTCATCTCCCTCCTTTTCTCTCTGCGATCATCATCCCTCACAGAATCGTCTCCCTCCTTCTCTCTCTGCGATCATCATCCCTCACAGAAGAAGAAGAGGAAGAAGAGGAGG